ATTTGGCATCTTGAATACATTCATGAGCATCTTAAATCTCATAAATTTTCTCAAATTCTTTAAAATTGGGCTGTTACACTAGATTATAGAAATATAAAACTATCATTCATTATAAAAACTATTAATTTTAGTGATACAGAAATTCTGAAAATTCATAAAAGTGCCAATAAATTTTTATTTTTTTATTTTATCAACTTTATAAAACTACTTATAATAGTTTAATTTTTAAAATTACTTTTAGCCCACAGATAACTCTCTTATCTCTGTATTAATAAAACACTCTTATCCGAAGGTTCATAAAAATCTAATATAGCCTTTTTTTAAAGGCACTTTGCCTCTCTGACGTGACTTAACTTCCTTTGTTTTTTTCTAACTTCCTTGAAGTCGTAATTTCACTTTTAAACTTCTTTGATGTCATATTCTCACTCTAGCTGCTCTTCATCTCTCGCTCACTCTCAATCTCTGCTACAGTCTACCAATCTGTGCTACAAACTTCGATTTCCTCCGTGCTGAAACTTCGATTTCCTCTGCTTGTAAGTTCAAATTCCTCTAGAGGATTCATTTTGGGTTTCATCGTCTGCATTTCTTTGATTTCCTAAATGTAGGGTTTCATCTTCTGCATTTCTTCGTTCATAAAAGTTCCTCTGTGCTGAAACTTCATTTAGGGTTTTTGGAACTTCGATTCATTCGGGGTTTCATTTAGATTTCTTCTGTGCTGAAACTTCGATTCATTTCGGGTTTCATTGTTTGCATTTCTTCGTTCATAAAAGTTCCTCTGTGCTGAAACTTGGATTCATTTAGGGTTTCATTTTGGTTTTAGGATGGATTATTAGAGCAAATTTTCAATTCAGAAAACAAAATGTTTTTGCATTAATCTGTCAGAGAAGTGAAAAATGTTATTTGTTGATTTAACCACTCTAGCTAATAATCTGTGTTTATCTTAATTTTATTGTTTTCTTGTACTTGATATTTACTAGTATTTTCATAGACCGAAAATTATTAAGTTGCAGATTATGGCATGGCTTTGCTTAAATTAATGCAAATAACAGTACCCTTTAATTTTGATTATGAAAAAATTGGTTAAACCATATTAATTCAAATTTGAAAAGTCAACCTATAGCTCTAATAATCTGTTTTTTGGATCTTAATTTTATTTTCTATACTTGATATATACTTGTGTGTTGCATGTATTGACCTTTGTTGCAATTGTAAATTATTACAAACTGAGCCATTAACTTTTTTTCTTTATTTAATAATAATAATAATAATCTGAAGGTACAAATGGAATGTTATCTGAATTCTCTGTAATTAACAGTGAAAATAGAGAATTCACTGTGTCCAAAGATATACTTTGAGTGGTTTTGAATAGCACTGTGTATTTGTTCAGGGAAAATTGGTTAATCCCCAAGAACGGAAAAAAAATTTAAATTGCAGGACTGATTTTTTAAAAGCTTTCATCCAACAAGGTGTTCATGTAGTGATTTCTATAGCTAATAGAAAAGTTTCTTTTTTCTTAATGGATGTCTTGGAAGTACATTGACATGTGATGTAGTTCTTATTCTTCCATAGCTAAAAAAAAAAAAACTTATATTAGAATACCCTTAGAAACTTTGCATACTACTCAGAAATTGTAAGTTAATCATTCCCTTAGATCTACTTAAATGCTTTAACCTAGCATTTAGTAAAATATTATATCATAATCTACTGTTGATGTTTCCATGGAAGTGAAATATTAACTTTTTCTTCTTGAGGTTGATTTTTCTTATTGGAACATATTCAATTTTCTTTTTTCAGGCAAGCAGATCCAGAGTGTGATTCACTTAGCTTATATGATCGAAAGACAAGCAGCAGGTATTCAAGTACTTTCTGTCAATTAGGTGCATTGAACATCTCAACATTTTTTTGGCTAAGAAAACGTCAATATTTTCTGTTGCATCAGGATTGAAAGGTATCCTTGAAGAACTTCCAAGCAGAGAAGCATCTCAATTTAGGTTGCAGGTTAAGTTTTCTGAATATTAAAATATGGACTTTGTTCTTTAAGATATATGTTGATGTTGTTTGAGCTAAGTTTTTTATGTTAAGCAGGCCTTATAATGAAGCTTGATTTCTGGTTCAAAATAATTCTGATCAATTATTCATGAACTGCTCTATTGTTTGTTCTGCTTTTATTAATTTCTTCAATATTGACCTCTTGTTTTCTTTGGTGTATTGATGTGCTATGTTTGAATAAGTCGAGACACTTTTGAGGGCCCCTGACATCATTGAAATATTTCCTCCACTATAAACAACCTTTCACATTACTCTTTTATGGTATTTTTACTTCTATGGTTTTATATTTTGTGTTTTCTCTCATCTTCTCACCTGCAATTTTTTTTTTCTTTTATAGTGAAGCTTCTCTTTTTCCATTATCCATAGCACATTATGTATCCATGTAGTTTGCTTTTAGCCTAAAAATATGGGTTTCTATCTAGGTACTTCTAGTAAGAATATTCCTTTACTTTTGCCATGTAATTTTTTATGTTAAATTTGCCTCTTTTCCTTTTTCTTAACGTCTTGAAAATGGCACCCTTTCTAACAAAACTGAGTAATCCTCATTGGAATCTGAAACTCAGAATGTTAGGAAAATATAGGACTCTTAAATGAATTGAAGAACCAAATATTGAACCACATTATGTTCCTTTTGCACAGGGCATATTACAGTGTTTTTTTTCCAAGCCATGGACATTACCAATTATTTTAGGAGAGATTGTATATTGCCCACATAAGAACTCATTGTTGATGAACATATTGGATCTACATGATAATTGTGGAAGCCAAATATTTGTAACATAGGTTGAGATATCTCCTCAAAATACAATAAATTCTGATGGTGGGAGCTTGAGGGTGGGCATGGGGTTGGCAAGTAAATGTGATGGGAAAATATATCGATTACATACATTATCAAAGATCTCAACAATTTTTATTACTTTTCTTTCTTGCTAATTAAATTAGAATCTAGTGCTAAATTCATGTCATTATTCCTCCGGATCCCCACCCAATTTGTTTTATGGCCCTTATTCTCTGTCTTTTGCAGGAGTCTCATCAAGGATTTGACAAAATTATGAATGCATATGATCAGGTATTAAAGCAATGGAAACTTCCTTTCTGACATGAAGTTAATTACTGGGTTTGGATAGTAATGACAGTTTGAATCTCCTTCATTCTCTCTCTCTCTCTCTCTCTCTCTCTCTCTCTCTTGCCATCGAGGTCATGAGAATTAAAATTTGGAACTAAACAGTTATTGGGTAAAAACATACTATGTTTATATGTACTACCACTGAGAATTCTTCTAATCAAGAGCAAACCAATAGAAATGAATAATAGAGAAACCAAATCAGCAACTTGATGACTTGTCTTCTATGTACTGAAATCTGAATTTTCCTTCCAGCAAACAGGTTTATTGCTAGTTTACTATCTTCAATATTAAGTGGCAAACATTGATGAAGATGTCTCATTTCTAAATAAGTTCTCCAATGGATTTACTAATTCCAGTGCTGAGAATTCAAACGTGATGCAGATGGATATGCCTTGTAGAAGTTTTAAATATCAGCTACTTTTCCTCTAAAATTTTATGAAAAGGCCACCAATTAAGCATAATAAACCCATTTAAAAAGCGTCATGTTCCTTTTTTGTAAAATATAATGCTTTTCACTAAATGTTCTGTACTTCCAGGCATGTGAAAAGCTTGTGTCTTTGGAGAAGAATACGCAAGGAGATATTGTTGCCAAGCTAGAAGAGGTATGCCCATTCCTTATGTAATATTGACTTCTTACGTTTTTTTAAAAGGCTGAGAGATGACATTATTTTACTATACTCTGTATGTTTCTCTAGTTCTCTCGTTTTTCTATTGTACTGAATATTTAACTATTTTAGTACCATCAAAAAGAAACAAAACACTTGTTTCTCTGGACCGTAGAACTATGGATCTGATATCATTTTAGCCTGTAATTATTGTACTCCTCTTTGTTTTTGAACTATGTATCCTGATGTGTTGTGCCTCTTTCTTGACAACTTATGTGCTTGATTTGTTCTCTTTGCTCACCTTTATCTAAATAAAGTGTGTTTCCAGTTACCTGGATGGAATGTTTACACCTGGTCTTTTCTGCATAGATATCTAGTATGTTGTTTCTAGTGTCTAATAGCTCATACTTTATCTGAGTATTGACAATTTTTTTAGGTGCAAATCTTGAACATTCTGTCTGAGTCCCAAAAGTGAATACCTCTTTTGCTTCAAGAATTGGGTACCTAACTAACTAATCAATTTCTTATATTAAAGATGGAATCATGGCTTGGTTTTTTGCTAATGAAGGCATTTTGTCTGAGTCCCAAAAGTAAATACCTCTTTTGCTTCCAAAAATTGGACTTTTGTTTGGTTCTAGTGGGTTCATTTAGTAAGACAAATTTTCATGATTCTGGCAGAGAACATTAAGAGCTAGAAAGCTAACTGAGAGAGTTCTTAAGTTCTTTATAGCTACTGGCAAGGACGAGGTCTTCTCGCTCATCCAAGCACTTAACATTCTGGTGGAGAACATATTTGATTCAAACCTTACTGGGGTAATGCTCAAGTGCATATAATTTTTTAGAATAAATTTGATTTCTATCATGTTATAATTATTAAAAGTTGCTTTATTTTCTAGGTTGTGTCCTCCTTCGTCATTGCTTGCTTTCTTTTTCCATAAGTATTACAACCATGGATAAGAGTTGGATTAAAAAGTCTAGGTTTCGTAGTGAATATATGCAAGCGGTTACCCAATTTTTAAGATTTGCATTTGGGAATGCATGCCGAGATGGTATGTTTTTATGTCTATGCATGAAATGTGTCAATATGCATTGGATACCATTAGAAGTTGTACAAGAGCATTTGATTTGCAATGGGTTTTTGTTTGGTTATACTAATTGGATTTGTCATGGTGAAATTTCATTTCTGCTTATGAGTCCCATTTACCGGTAGGGTTTTTTTCAGTTTAAAAGCTCTCAAGAACTTAATTTCCTAAAGAGAGTTTAGGAGTTGATGAAAATGAAAATATGATTGATTTTTCTCAATTTTCTGGTGGAGGGAGTGATAGTGGACAATCCCAAAAAGAGCCATATATTGGAACGTCTAAGTTTTATTAGTTGTTAGAGGAATATAACCAAGAATTATATCTGGGATTTAAAAAACAATCTAGATTATCTGTCATCTTAGAATTGTTTCAGATAAAGGTTTTTGGTGGGATGAGTTATGAGTCATTCAATTTTCTCCTCTCACTAATGAAAAGGATTCTTCTCAAGGGTGAAACCTTGCCTAATTACTATCATGAAAGTAAGAATATGATTAAGAAATTAGGTCTTGGGTATGAAAAGATTCATGCTTGTCCAAATGATTGTATGTTATATCTAGATGAAAGAGCAAATGAAGACTTGTTTTATGTGTGTGGTGCTTTTAGGTAGGTGCAAAGTGATAATGTTGGCTTGAAGGGCAATTTTTGTGGTAAAAAGAAAAAACCTATGAAGGTGTTACATCATTTTCTCTTGAAACCTAAACTCCAAAAATTGTTCATGTCCTCAAAAATGGCTTATGCCATGGTATGGCATGATAAGGGTTGTAAAAAAGATAGAAAAGCTAGGCATCTAGCTAACTCTTTTGCTTGGAAATCTTTTGATTTGCTATATCTTGGATTTGCCTCAGACCCTCGTATTGTGAGGCTAGGCTTGGCTGCTGATGGATTTAATCCATTTAGGGTAATGAATAATAAATATAGTGTTTGGCCTCTTATGGTGATCCTTATAATTTGCCTTCTTGATTGTCCATGAAAAAGTCAAGTTTTATTCTTTCCTTAGTGATTCTAGGTGAGAGTGGGCGTGGAAATGATATTGATGTTTACTTACAACCTCTAGTAAAAGAATTAAAAGAATTGTGGGAAGTTGGTGTAAACATCTTTGATGCTTTTGCTGGAGGTAATTTTTAGTTACATATTGCTTTAATGTGGATGATAAACGACTTTCCTACATATGGTGATTTGTCTGGTTGGAATGTTAAAAATAGATTTGCTTGTCCTCATTGATTTGAGGATACATGCCATTTATGGCTAGATCATGGGGGCAAATGTTGTTTCATGAGTCATCGTCAGTTTGTATATATTAATCATAAATTTCGAATTGATTCCTATTTTGATGGCACTGAAGAACTAAGGCCTGCTCCAATTTCACCTTCAGGAACTATGATTTTAAGTCAAGTAGAAAAAATGCATGTTACTTTTGGAAAGAAAATCTAGTTTATTCTGATTCTTGGAAAAAGAAGAGCATTCTTGTTAGTTTGCGGTATTGAGAGCACAATTTGTTGCATCATAATCTAAATGTGATGCATGTAGAAAACAATGTATGATAATGTTTTTGGGACTTTATTAAATATCGAAGGGAAGACTAAGGATAATTTAAAGGCACGTCTAGACTTGCAAGCATTGGGTATACGAAAAGAACTACATCCAAAGGAATATGGAGATGGTAGACTTCATATACCTCCTGCGTGCTATTGGATGTCAACAAAGGAGAAGAATGTATTTTTAAGGAGTTTTAGAAAGTATCAAAGTTCTTGACGATTACTCTTCAAATATCTCCCAACATGTCAGTCTCAATATCGTAAAGTTCTACCTTTGAAAAGTCACGATGACCACATATTGATGGAGGAGTTTCTTGGACTTGCATTACATGGGCTTTTGTCTAGGGATGTGACCACGGTTGTGGTTGAATTGGGTCAATTTTGAAGTCACTATGTGCTAAAGTTCTCCAAGTGAAAGAGCTTGAGCAACTTCAGTCTAAGATTATTCTCACTCTTTGTCGATTGGAGAAGATTTTTCCTCCTTTATTCTTTACCATTATGGTACATTTGGTGGTTCATTTGGCTAAAGAGGCAAAAATTGTAGGAACTATATACTATAGATGGATGTAACCAGTTGAAAGGTATAATTTAATAGTTAAAGTTTTTTTTCATATTCAATTTGGTCTTTTCTTTATTTGTGGTCCTTTTATTATAGGTTTCTTTGTAAATTGAAGTCTTATAAGACTAATAAAGCTCACCTAGAAGGTTCGATTGTAGAGACTTACTTGGCTAAAGAGCGTATTGTCTTTTGTTCAAGATACTTATAAGAGTTTGAAACCTGATTCCATCCCCTAGTTAGAAATTATAATATCCCAAATGAACCATAACAAAACTCAAGCTTATTTCCATGTTTAAGTAGACCATTAGGAAAGGCAATAGGATTTGAGTTAGATGAAAAATGTGGTTACAAGCTCCTCGTTATGTGTTATTTCAATGAAAACAATTCAGGAATTTCACCTATAAGTTTTCTAGAAAAGTCTTTTCTTTCTCTTGTAAAGTATTTTAATTAAACTGTAGTTAACTTGATTAGGTTCTTTATAGAGCATTTGAGAAAAGTGTAAAAAGGCAACAAAGGCATAGTTGAGCTCGTCCAATTTAAATAAATGATATGATGAATTCTACATTTCATTAATGGTTTCATGATCGGGTTAGTAATTTTCTAATTTATCATTTTTTTTTTCTTTTTTTTCTAATCTAGGTTCAAAATAACAAGTTTTATACATTTCAATGTTAAATTAGGTTGCAAAAATGGATCCTTTGGGAACTACAAAAGACATTAGGTATCTTTCTCAAGGTCCTAATAGGGTGGCAACAAGATGTACAGATTATATTATTAATGGGATTTGGTTTCATACCAAAACTCGTGAGAGGGATAGAAAAACTCAAAACAGTGGAGTAGTTGTGATTACAAAAACCACTCATTATCCAAATGTTTGAAGTGGAGATCCTATTGATATGGAAGATACCTATTATGGAGCACTAACGGATATAATAGAACTTAATTACTTTGATAGATTTAACGTTGTATTGTTTAGATGTGATTGGGTTAGCCTTATTGAAGGCAAGGGCATTAAGAAGGATCAATATGGATTTACCCTTGTGAATTTCTCAAATTTAATTCATACATGCAAGGATATAAAAGATGAACCTTTTGTGTTTGCATCCCAAGCAAAACAAGTATTTTATGTACAAGATCCTTAGTATGAGAATTGGAAAATTGTATTGAATGCAATACCAAGAGATTTGTATGATATGGGCATGGTATCAAATAAGGAAGAAGGTTCAATCTACTATGATCTTGTTTTCTTGTAATTAAGAGATTTCTTCGATGATCAAATAGGTAAGTCTTGACTTTGTGTTTTCCTTTTCATTTTATCTTTATATATATATTCCTTCTAACCTGGTTTTTCTCTTTTGTGCAAGTTTTCTTAGCAGTGCAAAGGCCTCTTCTAAGGTGACCCCCCCTTGCCTGTCTTCCTCGATTTTAGTTTTCATAGTGTACTGTTTATCGATTTCTCATTGTGCATGTTCTTGCAGAGTAAGCTTCCTCTGGTGGGAAATACTGCCCCAGATTTTGAGGCAGAGGTTGTCTTTGACAGGAGTTCATTACGTGGATGTTTGTTCTGAAGTGTATTTAAGCACGCCAATTTTTTAATTTTATTTACTTCAACACCCCCCCCCCCACCCAAAAAAAAAAAAAAAATTCTTCCTACTTGCAGAGATCACTGCTTTCAGTGGCCACTATGAAGAAATATTAGGTGTTTCTATTGATAGTGTGGTAAGTTCCTTGTTACCAAAAGAAGGCAAAAAAAAAAAAAAAACCCTTGTATTCTTCATTCCAGCTGTTTCCTATTTTTATATCAAAGATGTGTAAATTCGATGCATGTAAATCACATTCAAAAAGAATAAAAAAGAGAATATCAATCAAAAGAGTAGTAGTTTAGAGGGAAGTTGTCATCAAATTTGAGTGCATATATGACGGAAATCTCTAAACCTTAGAAAGTGATCTGGTTTAAACTAAACCTTTTCTTAAGATTTAAAAGAAAAGCTTGACGGCTGTGTTTTTATGATGATCAGCTTAATACTAGTTGGGAAAGACCTTGTTGCCTTGAAGCTGGTATTATTTATGGTGTTATGAAATTGAAAACTTAGTTGCTTGGTGTTATGAAAGTGTTGAGGCAGAACTCCCATCTAGTTTTTGCTCTTCTTTTGAACAAGGTTTAGTGCTTCACTGGTTACAATCATTTTAAATTTCAGGATAAATACATGCAGAACAGACTTGTGCAACTTGTATGTGTTTCCTTACAGAGTTTAATCAGAAACATAATATTTTTTGTGTACTTGTGAGCATGTGCATAAGTGCATGTGTGTGTGAATTATGGTTATTGACTTGCTTTGTCTTGGAAGTGTAATCTGTTTTTTTTTTTTCTTTTTTCTTCTGTTTTATGTAGGTTTACTTCATTAGTCGTCATGGTGAAAACTAGAAGCATGCGAAATTATGTAATTGTGATTGAAGATACTCAAGAAGAACAACGCCATGAGAATGCTTCACAACATCAACTTTAACAAGATGCTAATGAACAAAGTAATGCATAACTTATTTTTTCTACGAGTTGATTAAATTTTTATGTTTGATTTTTTTGCCAACTTTTCTCTTTTTAACTATTGTTGAAAAGATCCTACTAGGAAGCGTGGCGCTCGTGGTCGTAACAAGATGGTTGATGTATGGAATCTTCCTCTCATATAGCGAATTAAAGTATGCTTTAATAGTAAAGGTCAGCCCATTAGACATGAAGCCCATGTCCTATCATCTTGTTTTAGGATCTTAGCAAGAAATTGCTATTTACTTCCTTTGAACTGCAGGACTTGGAGGAACGTACCTCGAATATACAAGATGGACACCTTGAACCATATAAAGGTACAATTACATAATCTACAAATGCACACGCAGACTCTGGTTTTTTTGCCTCATTTGAATTCATTTTATCTTCTAACTTCTTAAAGAACTTCCTTGTTTTGATTAGATATCTAAATAATTTTTGCTTGTTTGTAGGAAAAATTTTTGTTCCCTGAACATCACACTGGTTGGTTATTCAAGTCACTAGGAAAGAAATGGAAGGATTGTAAGGCTGAACTAAAAACCAAGTACTTCCACTTTAATAGCTAAAAGCTAAAAATAGAAAATTTAAACAATTTCATAAAAATTAACAAGGCATGAAAAATAATTTAAACACACTTAAGTAAGACATTAAACATGAAAACATAATAATTGAAATGTAGAAAATTAAAATAAAACAGAAAATTAAACTTGCAAGTGAACTAGCCAGAATTCCTACATGACCTATGTGACTAATTACCACCTAAACATGCATTAAATGTAAATAAAAATAAAAACTGTTTTACATGGTTAATCTAGACCTAAAATGGAACCAAAAACCTATTGGAACCTTATGCAAAAACTGAACACAAGTGGAAATAAAAATTTATGCAAACCGAAATACTAGAATGAGTGGAAACTAAGACCTATGAATTAAGATGCTAGGAAAATGGAACCCTATCTAAGGAAATTGTAAAAACTGTTTTACTAGCTTTAAATAGACATGAAAACAAGCCAAAAGGTATAGGAAAGCTTTGCCTAAGACTGATCAGAAATGCTTTAGAAAAATACACAAGTTGGAACACAAAACATAATCTAAACTATGGATCTAGCGAGTTAAATGCAATCAAAACTAATCCTAGCTACATGTAACGTGACAAACTGTTTTGTAACTCCAAAATAGACTAAAAAATGAACAAAAAATAATCAGGACACTCAGACCAAAAATCACACACAAAGTGAAGAAAAACTACTTGAAATAATGCACGAAGAATGGGAGGAAAAATGTATGAAACAACAAACCTATATCTAAGGCATTTAATCAACCATGCAAAAAACACTTAAACTTGATTTAATAACATAATAGAAGCATAAAAAAATATATAAATAGCAACAAAAATTAAAAGGCAGAATAAAAAAATTGAGCAGAAAAATTAGCAAGAAATATAAAGTGCAAGTAAATAAATACAAAGATCAAGATTGTGGAGCCCTATGATGTTTCCATCAAATTAACATCCAAAGCCATCCTTTCTAAGCTCTAAAGAACCCAAATATCATGCAAAACTTGCTGCAAAAATAAAAGAAATTAAATCTGGAAACTGATAGAAACTAAAAAAGACAACTTGCTTAAACCAAATAAAAGAGAGCTTGGAATGTGTTTGCAACTTGAAGGAAACTTAAACAAGCTAAAAGATAACTAAAAACAACAATTAAAAGAGCTTGAAAATGAGCTAAAAAGGAAAGAAAATGAAGTCTTAAAGGAGGGCTTGGTCGGCCGGCAATGTTGCTGCCACCAGCCCCCAAAGACGTCCTAAACTAAGCAAAGGAAAAAACAAAATGAAGAGGAAAAAACTCTAAGGCTAGCCCTCTCTCCCTTTTTTATTGTCAAAACTAAGACATTTTACAACATATCCACCAGTCCAAAATAAGCCATCCCAGCCCTCCATTCAATCATCATAGCCAAGGTAATTTCTGGGTTGTTTTGAAGGCCGCCAGGCTGACTACATGAGCTGGAATTTCCAGCTCAGCTCCATCCCATGTGATGCTTGCTTGGTTGGTCCAATGAGGGTTCTTCATGCCTTCACCTAGGCCACATGTTGGCAGCTTAGTCCTCTCTCAAAATGTCAAGGAAAATAGCTAAAATAGAACCATAAAAGTCAAAGTTAAGGTCAGCAAGTTTGCTGCCTTACTACTGACGTGAAACCGAAAAATGAAAAAGAAAATTCCTACAAGAAATCAGAGGTTCGGTTCTCCTTTTTTGTCTCCTCAAAATGTCTTATTTTCCAGCCAAATCCTTGGTCTTTTTCTTCCCATAAATGGTTTCTTGAACCATGCAAAACAGCAGCCATGCTTGACTTTCATTTTTCATTGTGTTCTCACTTGTTGCTTGACTTGTAATTTGTTCCCTTTACTCTCTCCTTCTTTGCTGATTCTTTTTGGTCAAATTTGCTTTATTTTTTGCGCTTTCTTTTTATCCTCATTTCTGCTCTAAACACCCCCAAGTAAGCTTGATCAGCAGCTCCTCTCAAGCAAGCTATCTTATGCAAGAAAGGAAAGCTCTGCATGCCTTTGTTGGTGGCTCACAGCATGGGGCTTTATGGTCATGGCTTGGCATTTTTTTCTTCTTCTTCATGGCTTCATTTTCTCATGGAAATCAGCTCTCCTCATCTCCTAAGGGACCTTGAATTCCCTTGGCAAATTTTCGATTGATTCGGCCATTGCTTGCATGATGACACTAGGTGCAAGCATGGTGTTTCGATTTTTCCTACATATGAAATTTGGAGAACTTAGGTGGATAATCAAGCAAAAAAATCAAGTTCAAATCTAATCAATTAAGTACATGATAATTCTAAAAAAATAGAATTACCATTGGGTACAAAGATTATAAATATGGAAATTATTTAAAAAAATAAGTAAGACTTGTAAGGACAGTTTTAAGTGTCAATATAGCTCGCTTAATAAATATAAAAAATTTAAATAAAATGTAACTTTTATCAGCATTTTGAAATGCCTTTAAAAGATTTTTACTTATAATGGTAGTTTAAAGTGTCGAAAAAATCATGCCATCAAATGCATGTGTAATTTTGGCATTGGTGACTTAATTGCCAAAAAGTTTTCACCGACACTCACCTAGTCGATGGTCAACCGGTGGTCAAAAAACTGTCGGCAATAGTAATAGTGGCACTTTTTAATCTTTTATTGGCACTTATAGGTGCCAGTAAAAATGACTTTCTTGTTGTGATTGTGCTTGTAACATAACAATTTATGCTTAGCAAAACATATCTTGTAACTCAAAAATACTTATTCCACATCGAATTCTTTATTAGAACATTTAAGATAATGATCCTAAGAAAACTTAATTTATAGACATATCATCTCAAGAAAACTTTGAGATTTGACACCTAGACGCCAAGTAGTTACAATTAAGATAATGATCAAAGATTCGTTAAAGATCCATAAGTAAAACTTGAAAGAAATCACTAAAAATAGAAAATTCAACCTCAATTTAATATAATCTACAAAGATAAAAATCACTCCCTATAATGAACTTGAGTTTTAGATAACTATCTTATCAAACCTTAAACAAAAATCATTAACTTTCAACTCATTGTTATTCTTAATCAAATTCACCAAACTTTCTCCTCATCACAAATTTTAAAACTAATGTCTAAATACCAATTGAAACTGTAAATCAAATATCCATAGAATGACGAACTTGGCTCTAATACCATTAATTTGTCATGCCTCAAACCGAAGGATTAAGGATGTAACAATATCACATACTTATGGGACGAATCTCATAGGCATGCAAAACAACAAATATCATACTAAGTCAAAATTAATATCTCCAAAAAAACTCCAAAATTTACATTTTGCAAAATGCTAAGGGTCCAAGATTATATCTAATACAACTTGATCACAAGATAGAAAATATTCTAGCTAACAATAAATCTTATAAATCGATATCGAAATACTTATTCCAAATATTATACCAAACATAGGTAACGAATATTTGTGGTTGGTATGATGAAACTAGACTTAAACTTGAACCATTCTGTTGAGTCTTCTGCAGGATTTTGGTGTTTACACCTAGTATGCTGTGGTTGAAATCCTGAAAGAGAATAAGGCTACAAGTTCAAGACAACCGTAATCAAGTAATAATTTGCTTAATTATTGATACCAAACTCCAGGTGCCTTTTTTAAGCCATAAATAGCTTTTTGTAGCTTGCAGTTGCAGACATGATGAGGTTTATACCAGTCAATGACACCTTATGGTTCAGACAGTCTTTTGTTGGATAATTTACCTTGCTGAAAAGCATTGTTAACATCCAGTTGCGTACAGGCCAATCATAATTGAAAGCAATGTAAAGAACAAGTGTGATAGTTTTTGGCTTAATATATAACAGGCCTGAGGTATCTATGTATTCAAGTCCAGATCATTGATGGAAGACTTTGGCAACCAATCTAGCCTTGTATCTCTCAATTGAGCAATGGGACTTTATTTATTCAAAACGTGCATTTGCGACCCACAACATTCTAATTTTTGGAATAAGGATCAAGTGTCCTGGTGTTTCTTTATACTAGAACATTGAACTCACTATTCATGGTCTGTCTCCAATGTTGGTCACTGATAGGCTGCCTGAAACATTTGGTTCAGAAGGTAAGAGAATAGGATGTTTAGCAGTTGTGAAGGCCTTTTTAGGCTTGAAAATATTGTTCTCGTATTGAGTCGAGTTGTCTTTGGATGAGTTTCAAGTGATGAGAGAGCTAGAGCTGTCATATGTAAGCTTCTAGAGGAAGGTGAATCTTCACTTTTCTGCAAGATGTTTTAGAATTATTACTAATAAAGGAATTATAGAGTATAGTACTAGCAGCAACTGCGTAAATAGTCTTAAAGTATTTTATGATTGTATGGAAACTTGCTGGTGCTGCAGGCAGAGTGGATGGTGGAGCACGAAAATCATTTGGTTAGAACTCCAGTGGAAGGCTATTGGTTCAACGGATATAGAGAGAGAGATCTTCAGCGCCTGACTAACCCAAATAGTTGGTTCGGGGTTGGGGGCAGATACCCATATATTGCTGGGCACTCAACCCATAATTTAATGGCATGCAGCAGCAACAACCACAAAACTAATGTTGATCGGCTTTTAGGTCTTGTAGAATCCTTGATTTCATATTTGATTAATGAATTTCAAATGAATCGAACCGTTATCCATGTGATTTGTCGTCTTAAGCTTACAAAAAAGGAGGTTCCTTTTATAGTAGCCATTAATCATGATTCGGTGGTTAAGAAACAAATTAAGTGAACTACCCCACTAGAACATAATTGATATTAATTTACAATTCAAGCCAATTTATGTCAAGAATATCTACTTTGGAAAGTATAATATAGCAGGCAATATTAGAAGATTAATTGTAAGTAACCAACTCGTGATTAAACTAATTAGTGAACTTGGAAGTTTATGAAATTAAAGGAATTCAATAATAATTTAACCGGGACTACAAGTCTCCGGTTGAAAGTATAAAGACCAATTTTCAAATAAAAAAAAAAAGGCTAGATTGAAAATTTCGACGTAGCAGAAGATTTGCGTAGGACTTTCACTTTTTGCAAATAACCTAATTATTCATGATTAAATAATTAAAGATATTAACTTTTTAAAAAATTCTTAATTTATAATTGATCTCTTTTATCGGTAATTAATTTATCTAAACTTATCTTGTTAAGAAAACATTATGCGTCTTGACCCTCCCAGCTGCGATCTACAAATACTATCTTCACCAACCATGCCAATGAGCCAAAGCACATATGGGCATATGGCAATCAGGCAATGACATTAACTTTTTTAAAAGTTCAGTTTGATCGCTGAATGAAGTCTTGTCTCAATAGCAGGATGACACCCTAAAATCATTAGATCTCATATTCAAATATTATAATACGTGGATTTAATTTAATTTTTTATTTATTTTTGAACATGTATAACGTTCGCTTGTTAATTTGTTTAGTTTATGATTGAATTTCTTATCATTAAAGTAAATATTTGTTGAGAATTGCTTGATTATGATGCGAGATAAGTAAAAAAATTCTTTCAAAAGAAGTGCAATCTAATCTGGTAACAAATAGGGTAAAAACTGAGGATAAACTACCGCTCTTGGAATTACCAATTCTGTTTACAACTTTTTTTTCTCTAATTAATTAAATTACAGTCGGTTCAGTTCAAAAGAATTTTGTGAAAGAAATCCGTAGCATTTTTTTTCTGTGTCCTGAAACAAATTTTAACAGTCTGGAATATCCTGGTAAGTTTCTTTGATTTTGATCAGAGTAAAATTGGCAGCATATAAACGTTAAGAAATTTTCATAAATATATAGCAGAAGGCTCACTTTGAATTAAAATTAGATGCATACAATTTTCTCGAGTTAGAAAAAAAAAGTGAAGAATCGAATATATCTAATCTAGTTGTATATAGCTGTGTCGTATGTCTCTTGCCACACAGAACTATAGCCATGTTCTAATGGAACTTCATAATAATTCTGGGGGAATTCACTTCCGAATTCGACCAAATCATTCACCGATATCTCAACATGATCCTCCACATACCAGTTCATCTCATCGCTTGGCAAGGAAGGCACCATTTCCTTTTCAATCCATTCAAAGTAATCGAAGCCATCGTTGTTTTCCATGTTTCCTTCAATGTTGCATGAACCATGGTTTGCCTGCATTCTAATCTCTGCTTCAAGAGATTCCATTAAACTATTTACTTCTTCTTCATTGCAATACTCGTAATGCGATTCCTCAAATAAGGACATTAGAACAGCAGCATCAATTTCGGAGACTTCGATCCCTTCCATGACATTACTTCCATCGATCAATCCTGGTTTTTCCTCCAAGAAGAGAGCCATTTTTTCTCTATTTTGGTGTAAAACAACTAGAATGAAAGAGGCTAAGATAGCTAGACTAGTGAAAATGTTTGAAACTTACAGTGACTCCATCAATGGAAGTAATCTTTTTATAGGCCAAGTAATTGTACTTGGGAGCCCTCATCAAACGTGCAGTCATGTGCTCGCCCAATAAATAAATAGATAATCAATTGGACAAAAAATAATTGTTTAAATGAATGGATATTATTGAATGCTTGTGCCAGGCAAAATTGGAACAAAGAAAGAACATAAAATATTGATGTTAAATTAATGCTAACAAATCACCGCATGATTTTAGGTCATGTATCACAAGCGAAGGATTCCAAAGTTGAGAAAGGGAAGAATTGAAATTAAATAGCAACAACTACTTTCCAGGCAGGCAATATCCAGCATTGGTTGCATCTGACTCAATAAAGATAAAGACAGAGAAACAGAGAGCAGACAATATCTACATCAAATGGACATTATCTACGGTAGCCAACATGAAGATGGGAATGGTGGGTATGACTCATAATTGTTAGGATTGTTATGCCACTTGACTTATTTTTAATCTTTGAATTTTTACAATAAAAAAATAAAAATACTAATAAAAAATGGTGAAAGTTTGGACCACATTAATTGGGTTTGCATGAAAATGCATTTTGGTTTGGCATTAGTGCAAGCTATTTATTTGAGTTCCATGTTACCATACATACCTATTGATAGGCAGGAAAGAGTAAAATGCATATCAATCATTCATGATTTTTTTGCAATTTTTAGAACTCAATTTTTAGATCCACTAACTTTTAACACCAATTTTTTAAAACTATTGAGCCCTTAGACTATTATTTGTAGTACACTAATTTCCTATACAATGTTGACATCTGCTAAAAAGATAAGGTTTACTGTTTAAATCAGTTATCAATTATGTTTTTTATTTTTTTTTATTTTGAGATTATTAAAATTCGAATCTTGATTCCCTAAACTCTATCATTTTATTAACAGATCATTCAATAGTTAATGATATTTTTATTTTCAAATTATTAACAATGTTTAAACTAACAAAATATTATATCTTTATATACGTTTTATGTTCCTCTAGCTAGAATTTTCACTTTCTTGAATGAAAAAAAATTCTCATAAACTCATTATTAACTATAATTGTTTTTATTAATTTATTAAGAAGTTGAAATAATCTGGTAGACTTATGAAGGGCTTTTGAAGCTTTTTAGATTTCAAAATTGCTATGCTTTACGTTTTTGTTGTTGTTATTGTCTTTTTTTTTTCTTTTTTTTTTTCCTATCGTCATCCTTTTTTGTCTCTGCATTAATTGTGATACCACCAAGCAGGTGCTGGATTTTGTCATAAGCTAGAGAAAATTCCCCTAACGAATTTTAAGAAACAAGAGCTTAAATGATTTATAGAATTAAAGTACTGATCTTTTAATTTTAATAATTAAAACTTAAATTCTAATAATTTTAAATAAAAAAATATTTGCCAAAAATTTGCATATCATTGATTAATTTTCACAAATAGCCGAGATATAGCCTACAAAACTCTGCACCAATATCTATAGTTGTACAACATAAGGAAATTATTGTTATTGAATACTATTAATTTTTGTACAAAGAAATGGAAGATGGAAATTATAATGGTGAAATTAATATGATCTATGGCATCAGTTTCAATCCACGAAGTTGTGTACGTTTGTCCTTCTAGGACATCATCCAAGTAGATATCGCAAAAATCATCTCCCACCTCAGTCAAGCTTCTACTTCCTCCCCTTGAGTGTCCCTGTGCCAATAATCCAGGTCATGGCTTGGTGATGGGGAAGGCATTGGCTCCAAATCACCCAAATGAAAGTTAAGATCAACTGAATCGGAACCATGACTTTCCTCTCCTTCGCTAAGACTTTCCGGTTCCATCATTAAACCTTGGATATCGATCGTGTTCATATTGATTTCGGCTTCTAATGATCTCATCAAGCTATCCAATTCGTCGTGGTTGTTCTCTTCACTCGTCGATTCTTCGAGGAAGGACATGAGAAGTGCATTGTTGAAGTCATTGTCACAGCTGATGCAGAATGAATTTTCTTGCACTAGAAATGCCATAGCTGATAAGGACTAAGTGGGAAACAAAGCTAGTGAAATTGCTAAAATGATGAGAATTAGAATTGAAAAAGTATTGAATCACAATATTTCACAATGGCTCCCTCAAAGGAAGTAAAACTTTATATAGAAACTTGCATGCGTTGAATCCCTTTCCAATCACATACACATTAATCTACACTGTCAAATGTGTCTACTAAAGCAGAAACAAAGTGTAAACATAGAATTAATCCATTAGTGATAAGAAAAGAGAATAGACAATGCTGTATTATATTGTCCAAGAAAGAAAGATTTCCAAGTTAGGCAAGATCTAGCTTGTGTGGAAACAGCATGGACGATATCTTTAACAAAGGCATGCAGCAGACGTTTACACCAAAACCCACTATTGACAAGATTCATGGCCAAGTTCTTGAACCCATTTTTTTAATTGATGAATCTTAAATTGGTAAAGTGGGGACATGACATAGGGGAGCTTCTGGCATATGTCCATGTTGGGTGTTGAGAAGGAATCAAACTAAACTGATTAAGATACAATGCATTGGCCCATATTTTTGACATTCAACCAAAACTTTGGGGCACATGTATCGGCCACCACAAATAAATTTAAGTTTGAGTGTCATTTTGGTCTTAAGTGACAATGAAATAAACCACACCCATGTGCTCTAGTTCTTCCTAATAATGACAATTGGAAGAGTTCGTCTTGATATATGTTTCATATTAGAAACGTATAGTGAACCACTCCATTTGTTCGAAATTAATATTAATTAATTTGGATTACAATCTACTAAGATGGTTCGTTTCACCAAATCCACTTTGGAGTATATCTTTCACTTTATTGAGGCTTAAATTATAAGATTCATATTTCCTTGATTTTTGTGTAGGTAATTTATTTTCACATAATTCTTTGATGGAAGTGCTTGTAGTGAAATATGGCTTGCAAAGTTTATCATCATTATTTTTTATATGACTTTTCATCTAAATAATTAACAATTGAACACATCAAGTAAAATGACCCTCTCTGTTTTGACGACAATGATTTAAAGATCTAATGGTTTTAGCTAAATTACATGAATATGGTTGATTTGATAACCAAGTTGATCAAAGAAATTCACCACTGTAACATCAATATAATCCATTACTTTTGGAAGTATCATCATCCCATATAAAGCCAATGCATTAAATCCATTCCTCTTTCAGTGCTAAAATATTTGTATATAAAGTCACAAACAATAGACCAAGGAATACCAATACTTTCACTTTTTCCTTTTACCCAATTATCAATAATTTGGATATCTACAGCCATTATTTGATAAAGCTTTTAACAGTAACCAATCTTTTTATTTTTCCAACATACCTTGTCAGGATTAGCGAGATCCAAAAGAATGAGAGTTAAATATTCTTTAATAGTTAGTACTATATCAACCTCATTGAACACAAAGCAGCAATATGAATGGTCTTAAAATTGAACCATGGCCCTAATAAGCTGATCATCCACAGGGACTAAAAGAAGTAATGCAAGGTCCTCAAACTTTTTTTGAAAAGTCTCCTTGGCAGTGACACTCCATT